CTAAAGATTATGGCTAGAAGTATCTATGTATATGTACATCAAAAAAGATGAGGAAGATGAAATATACAGAAAGATGTCGTCGACAATAATATGAACATGAAAAATCTTACACAACTTTTACCATAAGCTAGAAAACTATCCATTCCTTCCTTGATCTCCAACTCCCTTGTTTTTGTGCCTTAAGGGAATTTTGTGGGAAATGTAGAATTTGTAGAGGCAAGTTTTTCCATTCAGAAGTGGCATTAAGTAGTCGCCAGAGGCTTAGAGCCGTGATGATGAAAAAAGGTTGAAAACCAGGGACATGGAAGTAAACTTGGGTACCTTGAAGGCTGTCTAAGAAAAAAACCTTTACCTATTCAGGTCAATTGTGATCCAGAGGTGCGCTGGGGCATTTCACAGTTAATGAGAGTTTAACGAGTGAGGATGCGCCAAACCAATGTATTCAAACCTAGACCTACAATTTATAGTAAGATCCGAACCACTCGTTTGCTGACATTTTTGCCAGTAGCCTACAAAAAAAGGCAGTGAACCTCATTTCAAGTACATACGATTCGAAAAAGGACAAGTGAAAAATTTCTCATACCCAGTCTCGAACCCATGATCGCTGTGTCGGTATTGTAATAATCAGGTACCGAAGTACTAAACCATTCAGCCACCAAGCCATTTCAGCTCACATGAAGGCCGTCTGACGAACGTGGGTATTTGTCAGTGGGCAAATATCGGTAACCAAAATAAATCAGATGCACAGCTTTCTTGAACAATGCTAGAATCTATTTGAACCGACCAAAATTTCTGTAATTATTTGCTATATTTGAATAAGCTTCAGACATAATCCCACAAAATCATCCTAAGGACACCCCGAAAATTAACTACATACCACCAGTTCATCATCACAGAAGAAAATAACAATGGATGACGAAACAAATAGAACCGTTTGTGTGCATAATTTAAGTGATATCAACAACGAAAGAAACAAAAAACATCAAGAATAACAGCAGTATGCATAGTGAGATGCTCTGTCGCTCGACTTTTGCTATTCAACTGTTGTTTGTGATATTCTTGTTCTTGTTGATGCTTGCTGCTTGCCTGCAATAAGAAGAAAAAGACTTTTTTTTATCATCTAAATTAGTCCCGTAATCAAAATTTCCCTCTCGGCATCATCATCTCATCTCTTATATTGTCGGTTGAATGGTTGGATGGCTTAACATTGTCTTATAAGGCTCTATCTCTCCCTTCTTTCTTCACAATATCCTTTTTTGCTATAGCACACAATGTATATTATAAGTAGTAAAGATAAATAGAGTGGATGAGGAATGAGAATATGACGGGGATGGGTGGGAGGGGATTGAGATAGAGAAATGACATCAATGACGACGACGAATGGCATGGAATTTATTTTGAGTTTCTCTTTTGCTTATCAGTCAACTCATCTTCGAGTAAGACTATTCAAAGCATTGCTTGGTATCACTACAATTGTCAAGTTGACTGAATGGAAAGACAACAGCAGAGAATTATCCTTTTTATAAGGCAAATCGGCTATGGGGTTGTTCATAAATGATGTGCATGATAAAACTTGACTTTTTGACTATCTTTTTAAATCATTGTATGTTATCGAGAGCCAAACTTATCATTAATTCTGGAGCTACCTTTATTAGCACTTTCTAACGTCAGCAGATAATTTCTAGCCACATAACAGCTTCAGAACTTCAATTCCAATTTAATAGACGTCATTGACGAACCACCCCCATTCCACTAACTCTATTCAATTTTCATCTATCTAAGATGATGAACAAATTTGTATGTCTGTTGTTGCTTTTCTCCAATTAGTTATTTAATCTTCAAATTGAAACTAATCTCATGGTTTTTATCAATTGATATTAAGCCACTATTCTTATTTACTTAATATTACCACTGCTGTATTTTTGCGTTCATAAAAGCCTTGTTCATTTCAATAGCAATAATTCCATGCAATTTATTTTTATGAATTTTCTTCGAATTTTTCTTTTTTTGGTCTTGTCTATTGTCTTAAAATGTTGATCTGTAATGCATACAAGTTGTGAGATTCTTTTGTCTTGCGAGTATGTGATGTGTTTTAAGTATTCGGATCAGGATTTGTTAATAATATGGATAAGTTTTGATTGCTGATAGTACGAATTTTCTGTAGGAAATAGAAAAAGATTTTAAAGATTTAAAGTAGAGTTGTAAAACGGCTTAAAATGGCTTCAGCAAAAAAATCGCAGTTGTTTGACCTTTTCTACGACTGATTTAAAACTTTGAAATTGAAAAATCATTTTAACTAGAAAATAGTTAAGAAAGTCTGCTAGAAGATTCATTATTTACAGGACCTTCATAAACAAAAGGTAAAGGGGGGGGGGGGGGGGATTTGGGGGACAAATTCCCCAACGTTAACAGAAATTTCTTCATTTTGCTAAGTGTTTTATGAAAAATCATAAAAATCCCCCCCTTCCCTCTGAATTTTACATATAAATCTTTTGCCCCCCCCCCCCTCTTAAAAGTCCTGGCTACGCCCCTGGCGATGAAATTAAGAACAAAATTTGCATTTTACGAATTCATTTGACTTCTTTGTCAGCAATCCTTTTGGGGTCGTTCACTTATGACGTCCGGGTGGGTCAGAAGGAAAAGAAAAAAAGCCCGTTAATTTCGGACATCATAAGTGAACGACTTCTTATCAGCTTCCGTGTGTTCAGCTATTCCATCTGATCTCAAAACAACTTTTCCTGTCAAGTTTCAACAAAACAAGAATCCAGAAATAAAAAATTCAATAAAAACAAACCCGCATTGCCTCAAGTCAAGCTTGTTACGACACAAAACCACACTTTTCAGTCGTCTTCATTATATTTTAAAAAATTAATAAAAGAAAATTAAAGGGGGAAGCAAAAAAATGTTCGTCAAGTGAAATAAAAAAAAAAGTCATTCGAATGATTCGACGAGCCAGTTGTAAGGAGAAAGAATGATATTAGTTCCATCAGTTATTCAATTATTTATTTATTTCATTGTTGAACAAGGTGCTCATTCAAAAGGTAAATATCTGAAAGCAGAATCGAACAGCAAGCAACAAGGAAATTATTTTGTACATTCCGAGGGCAAGACTCTAACGATGAATTTTATTGTTTGGTATAGTCAATACAGTTCTGTGTCTCCGACAATCGAGTAGAAAAGCATTTTCCGCAAAACGAAGACTTGAGGCAATTTAATGTTGCTGATAAAATATTTATGAAACCATGTCGCTTTATATTGACCACCTGCAGCTCTTTTAAAAAAGCTATCCATGCTTACACTTTTTCACAGCACCTTTTCCGCCTTAAAGCAAATGTTCAAAGGTGTTTTATGACTCCACTCACTTGCTCCTTTTGTATTTAATGTACAGCAAAACACATCGATGTAGATTGAAAATTCATTCCTTTTTTTTTTGCTGCCATCCCTAACTTTTCAACATCCTGTGCGAGATTCTCGCCGTACCAAAATAAAAATTTTATTTTGCCTTTTGTTTTGTGTGTATTAAAATATCTCATTGTAGACAGTTTACATGACTCGCGGGTAATAACAAGAGATAAAATCATGGTTTTTGCGGATAGCCACAATAGTAGTGAAATTTGTTGAGCTTCATGATTGTACGTATGCAGCATAATACCTTACTCTTTGCTTTGTTTTGTTTGTTTATGAATTTTACAATAGTTAATAGAAAGGACACATACTCAACGTGGTGATAGAGAGAAGAAGGAGGGAAAATAACAACTCCGACATGTGTGAAGGCAATTTTCAGCAATAGAAAAAAAAGGTTTCAACCTTCATTCTTATTTAATGTGCACCAACCTACACATTGAGCATGTTTATTATTTACAATATTGGCTGCACGAATGTAAAGAATTTTCAATGACGCAATGCCAATTAGTAGGAAAGCGGACTCATTTGGTTGAGTAAAGGCGCATTTAAATAAGATTTGTTGACTGATTTGAATCAATTTAAGTTAAGGTGATGATAAAATGTCACTCAGCTCTTAGCTCAACTTTCTTCCTTAGCAGCCTACAGCTGCCAGTGCGGCTTAATCACAATAATAGCTGAACTCAAGAATAATTTTTCTCAAGTAGGGTTAGGTTTCAAAAATAGCCTGTTTTTAAACAGGCTTCGATTAAAAGACCTGTTGACGCTCCATTAAACAATGTCTTCAAATCCGATTTTGTAGATGGAAAGAGATCATGTGGAACACCAAAGAACTCATGGAAAGAGGCTGTTGATAGAGACAGTGCTGCATTTGGAATCGGCAATTGGCAGACAGTAGCCAGAGATAGAACTAGTTTTTGGAGACGGTTAAGGGAGATCATGGATCACAATTGATCTGTCCGGCCAGCAAAGTAAGTCATTGAGGATTAGGTTTGATTCCTCACTTTTTTTCATTTTTTTAATTGCACTTTATTGCATTTATTGACGACATACTGTCCAATAATTAACAATTTACACTTTTGTATTTGTACACATATGAATTAGTATTATGTAGGATCAAACTTCTAATCTTCAAATCTAGGTTTCAAATAAACTAAGGCTCTCGTTTCGTTTTTCTGTAGGCGTGACGTGATACTTTTCAGGTCCGTTCTAACAATATTCCCCATTCGTGGGTAATCTTGTAGCTCTCGTTCCTATTTCTCCCGCTACACTTCAAGTTCCTGACCCGTTCCTTAATCCAACGTTGACCAAATGCCCAACTATGGCTATTTCTGGTACACAATAAAGGACTGTAAGTTTATGACAAAGAAGCAAATCACGGATAATCTAAAGACACCCAACATTTTCCCATTTAACAGTTCTAGCAAAAAAAGGGAAAAGTTGAAAATTGAAATGTAATAAGACATGCAATGAATATGTAGAATCAAAAAAGAAGAAAAAATCAACAAAAGCTATCAATTATTGGTCTCATCAATTACAAGTTTTGAGCATTCACAAGTCGTTTCAATGTGTACAAAAGGTAGTAATTATTTTTGTACTTATTTATTAGTCTTATAATTCTCAGGAAAATATAAAACATCAACATTTGTTTCTCGACATTCTCGGAAATTGAAGTTGTAAGCTCCTAGTGATACTCTGTTTTGTAATGGTTTGAAATAATTTAAGCCGCGACCTATTTTGATGATAAATCCATTATTTAAGAGAACCTGTCGGTCGTGAAGATTGTTCACAAGGTCTACAAACAGGCAAATTCCGTGCTTTGAAAGGCTTTCGGTTAATGATGAAAATCCTTTATTTTGCTCAGAGTTTACGTTCGGATCCTTGTTAGTCGTCACTTTAATGCACTTTAGATTCCGGCATTTACTCACAGCTAATTCACAGAACATTACTAAGTTCATTAATTGGTAAAAGTCTTTTATGTAAGGTTCTTCGATCAAAATCTCTTCAACATCCTCTGTGAGATATTTTCCAAAAATTCTATCATATCCAAAGTTCGTTGCATTCTCAGGAATGTGGATTTTGTCACGAATCTCTCCTTTACTTCCCCAACTGTGAATGAGCTTCTTAAGCTTCTCCGCTTGTGTCAAATATTCATCCAATTTCATGTTGAAGTGTTTCTTCTTCTCTGAATTAGGTTCTGATTTGCAGAGCTTTAGTAGTTCTTGACAACCATCTTCGTAGAGCTTAAGTGCTTCTAGCTTCCGTCCAGCAACATCATACTGTGGTATTAGATTAGTTTTATTGATAAGAAATTGATTGCAAATTTGTCATAAATCTCCGAAATTAATTTTCAATTAAAATAAACAAAAACCTGAACAGCTTTGACAAGCAATTGAATTGCTTGCGTTGACTGCATGTTCCTATAAATTATTCACAACAAATCAACAACCTAAAATGCTTATTCAATTCTTAACAAAAAAAAAACACTTTGTGCCAATTTTTCTGTTTTTATTTACATTTTAAGTTTCCTACAAATCCGCATTGCGGCGCTGTAGTTCCAATAATTCGAAAAATGACTGTTGAACGAAGAAACTGCAACATGTGAAAAAATAAAAAGAAATCGATAAGAAAAGCTTGAAAATAGAACGAAAAAAAATATCATAATTTAGCAATTATGCTTGCCATAATAATGATTTCATTTTTCATTCATGCTACAAGAGAGACACAATGCAGTGAAAAAGAAGGAAATGCACACAAAATTTTCTTTTTTTTAATCATCTCATTTTTTCTTCATTCCCTCTTTCAACATTAAAAAATGGAATATTTTCTTTTCAATTCTGAGCAAGGAATAATAAATTAATTTTAATGAACTGAAAAAATAAAGATAAAAAATTTTATGCTGCTCCTTTAGTCATTCTTATGTATTTTATAGTGATAGATATAGAATGTTCGGAAAACTTTTATAGGATATTGCTGTTGATTTTTGATTTTTACTGCTGAACTAAAGTGCATTCTAATACGGAATTTGAGGATAAATTAAAGTTTCTTGGGAATTTAATTTTGACTATTTTTAAGTGTTGAAGGTTGGGGTATTTATAAATGCATTTATAGAAATTTTAATTTTGTATCGAATTGTAATAGCCTAGCACCTTATACCTCTTCTTCCCTTCCCCCTCTCCCCTCCCAATTCTCTTCCAAAAAATGGTAATCTTTTGAGGGTCGTTCACTTATGACGTCCAACATTTAGAGCGGAGGGGGGGTCTAAACATTTGTGACACATTGTGACAGGGCAGGGAGGGGGGGTCAGGAAATTCGTGACATCCAATGTTTTGAGAGAAAATTATATTTTTTTGTGATTTTTAATTTGACGTCTCAAAGGGGGGGGGGGGGGGGTATTGACATCTGCGAGTGAACGGCCCCTTATAAATATTTTCTCTAGAATTTTAGTTAAAAAATATTAAATCTTTTAAATAATTTTTGATAACTTTAGTACAGGGGCGTAGTCAGGAATTTGAAAAGGGGGTGGGGCAAAAAATTTGTGGGGGTGGTATATTTTCAAATTTTCAATAAAAACTCTAGCAAAATAAAGAAATTTCTGATGACTAAGGGGATTTGACCCCAAATTTACACCCCCCCCCCTTTCTGACGCACCTGACTTAGTAGCTTAGACTCAAATTTTTTCATTTTCTTTTTACACGTACAATATTTAAAATATTTTGAAATAGATGCACATTTTAATATAACTCAATTGAAACTTATTTCGCAATCTTTCTTAATTTTACAAAAAAAAATGAACTTTGTTCATCAAACAGTATTTGTTATATTGTGTTATCTAATGTTATATTTAAATAAATTTGTAATTCTATCTATTGTTTTACATCAGGGACGGAGTCAGAAATTTTTACAAATGTTTTTAGGATTTACATGACAATAACTTCTTGGATCATTAGTGTTGAATAAGCCTTAAGAGACCTTAGAATCATAATTTGTCAGACAGAAGGGTTTAGTTGGATTAATATAATCTCACTATGTTAGAAGGCACCCCTCCCATCTAAAGAAATGATTCAGTAAGTATTATTAAAGTACAACAACTGTATTGACATTTTTATACTAGACTACGCCACTGCATACACCTACAACAAAATAACATTTCGTATTTTTCCATTTCATATATAGTTATACTTCGTAGTCGATCAGTTTAGAAAGAATTTTCATCTAAATAGGTGCAGTGATATTCAAAGAATCGAAACTAAAACGTAATTAAAATTTTAGAAACAATTTTGCATTCAAATTGGTGCTTGAGGAAGCTAAAATATTTTTTTACTTACTAGATAAAGAATTTAAACACAGATTGATTGGTGCTGCTTGACAAAAAGTATAACATAAGTTGTTAATTAGCACACAATCTTAAAAGATAATAATGACGAATGACGTCATTATTTTTTAAGTTATGAAAACTTAGAATTCGATTTTTAAAGAAAGCTTTCTGTAAATGTTATCATTATTGCTTAAGTTTATTTTAAAGGTTGCAATTTATTTAATTTGATTTTATAAATTTATTTTTTAAGGATAAAAAAATGGGAGTCCTATTTAATGCTGTCGTGTCTATCGGAGTTGGAGTTGCAACAACTGCTTTGATTGCTGGAACAGGCCCAGTTGGTGTAGCTGCTGCTTTGGCTATTAAAGGTGCAGAAGCTACTGCCGCAACATATGCTATAGGGAGTGGTGTTTTAGCAGCTGGATATACAAATGTCTATCTCAATACAGGCAGATCGAGTGGACCAAGCCTCTTTCCTAGTTTTGGGAATGGTTCAAGCGGATCAAGCAGCTCAAATCTATCAAGTAGTTTAAGTGGAACAAGCAGTTCAAGTGGAACAAACAGTTCAAGTGGATCGAGCAATTCAAGCGGAGCAAGCAGTTCCACCCAAAGCAGATCAAGTAATGCTGGCAATACAAACAATTCAAACGATCCTAACCGTGATCAAAACGAAAGAGGTTCAAACAATTCAGGCAACAACAATGATGCAAATACAACTGATCAAGATGAAGACAATTGGGATTCAAGTGATGAAAGCGACGAAAGAAACCACAGATATAAATACATCGCTAAAAGATATCCAGGACGATCAACATATGCAAATCCATTAGAAATTGATCATACTATTCCGATGGCTGTTTGGAAGGAACTTCTCAAAGAAATCCAAAAATATGCTGAAAATGATCTTCCAAAACATTTGAAAAGAGCTCTAAAAATATTCAGAATTATATTAAAAGGCAAAGATATATTCTCATTGAGTGCCAAAGATCTTGATAAATTGATGAAAGAGTTTCCAGCCATTGAAATCTTAAAATTAATCCATCGACATCAATTCTCAACTGGAAACAAAGAATTGCGGAAAAACTTCAATAAACTAATTCTTGATTTTATTTTGGCTGGAAATTGGGCTGGTGCTATTGAATATATATTCAGAGATCAAATTAATATTGCAAGATTTTTCAATGTTGGTCAAGAAGAAATTGAAAATATCCTCAATCGTCAGAGAAGCTTTGTGAGATATTTACTGAGAAAAGGTATTCTTACTGAAGAAGAAGCGAGGAGATTGCTTGAAATTATCGGTAGTCTAATGAATTAAGATTTATTAAACTTAATATTAAATGATTTTTCAACTCGATTTATTCGAACTATAATGAACTATGCTATGATTTGTTGTTAAACTAATATATTTATTAAAATATTAAATTTGATTAAAGAGTTCTAATATGAACCTGGAAACTATGAATATCAATTGAATTTATTAAAATCATATATTGTAATAATTATAAACCATGAAATAAATAAAGATTTTCATCAAAAAATTTACTATAAACATTTTTCATTTCCTCTCAACTGTTGAAAGAAGAAACATTCACAAAACCATTTTTTTCATTCCGTATTTATTATTGATGAGTAACTCTATCAATCTCAAATAGAAAATAGAAATGTAAATAATGATGATAGTTATTCTATTGCAACATTCTGCCAGTCATTCATCTGTATGAATTTTCTAAGATATTTCCAGCAGCAAAGAGAATAAAAGAAGCAAAATCGAAGTGGAAAAAAATTCTGAATTGAAAGCTTAAAAGGAAAGTAATGATAGAATCATGAATATCACTGGATTGTGTACAGTAAGAAGATGGAAAAGACAGCAAATGGAAATCTTTGAACATAATGAAGCGAAAAACGTTTCGTGTTTGCAAATTCATTTCCTTCCTTCCTTCCCTTGATTCTAGATACTTTTCAAAATGAAATGGAATTGCATATAAAAAAAAAGAAAGTTTCCTTTCTTCCTTCTCGTCGATTGGAGAAAATAAGAAGTGAGTTGAAAGCTCTATAAAAATTTTCTTTATCATTAAAGTGCTTAGTGGCTGTAAAATTAAAATTAAATTTTATTTGAAGATTGAGAAATTGGAAGAATATTATTTGATAGTTATGGCTAATGAAAAATCTTGAATGTAAATTTGAAGAAGGAGAGATTGGAGAATTGGTTATTATGGAGATATTCTGAATTGATGCTTATTATTGTCGAACGAATTCTTCGAATTTAGGAGGAACGATTGTGAGTTGAGAATTGAACTAGCTTTGTTAACATTTTTTGGAGCATGTTCTGACCAACTCTGACTTCAATGCTAGATAGCTTATCAAATCTAGCTTGTTTTGTTATAAAGAATAAAATTGTCAGTTGTGATATCAGACAGGAGTTGAATCTGTGGTATTAAGCGAGTTTGTCAGTGCTAGATTAAATCCTCTGTGTCCTAGTCGTTAAACTATAGATCAGATATCTTGAATCCTCTTTTGTGAGGACGAGGGTTTGATTCCCATTAAAGACCGATCTCTCAATTATTAAATAGATTACTGTCTATATTACAAAGGATTATGTCTCATATTAAACAGAACATTACACCAACAGAGACTCAACATACTCTAAATGCATCACCATTTCAATCATCTTTACAAAATTCATCTCCTTTACCATCCAAATCTTTTGACGACAGCATTCAAAATAAATTTTCAATAGAATCTGTATAATAACTGTAAAATGACATTCACAACAGACTTAAATAATCTTCAATTTTTAAAAATTTCTACAATTTTCAACTTAAAAGCAACAAAAATAAATTAAATGATGAATGAAACATTTCTCGAGGGGCAATGTGCTATATCGCAATACATGACATTAACCATTAGATCGAAAAGGTTCATTATAAAAAAAGGGACGCGAATAAACTCGCGTAATCCATAAATTTCAGTTTTAAAGTTTATTTTCATTTTCAATTTTTCTATTTAGAAATGGAAAAAATTTGTCACCCATTTTCTATATTGTCATTATCATTCATTTATCCATCTATTCATTCAATTTCAATAAATAAATTTATTTTATATTTTTTTTTTTTGTATATAATTTGAAATAAAATTGAGAGCGGAGAACTGAAAAGAACAATCATTAGACTATGAGGGGGGGGGGGGGGGGGGGTCGATATGAAAAAAAAAATAAAAACGAGAAATGAAAATCTTCAGAGATTAATGTTAAGTAAAAAAATGAAAGAATATTGTTTAGATGAGAAGCAGAGTGAGCATCTCGTGAGGAATGGTGATGATGAGATGAAAAAAACAATGACACAAAAATATTTTCTTCTTTTTTTCTGCTCTCCCTGAAGATTATCGAGAATGATGATGATTAAGCGAAATTCAGTGCTCTATGAACACGCATAAGGCATTGTATTCTCATTTTCTTTATTTCTATTTCATTTGTTTTTTCTCGATAAATTCAAAATGATAATAAATGGATTTTCTTGTTGAAATTTATTTATATTTTTTTTTTGCTTCCTGTTTTGGATTTTATTTTTATTTGGTAGAAATTTAAGTTGAATTTTCAATGAATTGGGGAAAAATTTAAGAAGTTTAATTCTATTGGACTGAATTTGATTGCGACTGTGGTTTTAAATATTGATATAATGTGAATTTTATAGACTTACACTCTTCTTACGGATGTAATCCATCTGAGAATGATTAGATTAGGATCGAGCAATTTAACAAAAGATACTGACTTGAAAGGCACAAGTCGGTTAATTTATCAGAACTTCAGCTCCAAGCCGTCGTGACTCTGGCATGGTACTGGATTTAAATCGAAGCCAGCATAATGCCAAAGTCAAGTAAAGCAGTCCAGCAAGTGCCGGATTTTTATTCGATTAACCGACCTGCGCTTTTCAGATTGAAGAAATTAGTAAGTTTTTATTGATTTTAATCTATTAAAGTAAGCTAAAACAGAGTTCAAACTCATCTTTTGACTCTTTTCTGTTCAAATATAATTTTTTTCTTTTTGGTTTATCTATAACATAAAACTCCCAATTCCATCCTTAACTCTAGAACGGAAGCCATGGAAAAACACTTTGGTAAGCAGTGTGAGCCCAACTGTTTTTGGGGGGTTGGAGGGTCCATAGTGGGTCAGGGGATGTGAAGCTTTGTGAAATCATATGAATTTTAAACCCTGAAAACGACCTAGTTCAGTGATGGTAAATTCATGTGCCGCTTTACACTAGTTTGACCACTTTGAGATATCCCACAAACCATATGCTGTGTGCAGTTTTGGTCATGGCTTAGCCAAATGTGCCATGGCACAGAAAGATTGGACACCACTAGACCCTGGTTGATTAATATAATGAATAAACTATTTTTGTTCCGAAGTATCTTAATTACATTCAATTAAAAAGTATTCCGTTCTAGATTCATTTAATACGTCATGAAACACTCTGAGAATTCATAAACATAAGCATCTAATTGCCTATTTATTTTTATGAATTAATGAAACCTCGTCACTAGACACATCTATAAATTAAGAGCACTCGTCTATTTTATGATACAAATATACATTTTACGACAACTTGAAATAAAACTTTGTCATTCAATATAAATGACATCGCGAATGGCGAATCACATAATCACAATAACTTTTGGCAACTTCAATTGAAAAACTTTTTTTTTTGCTGCCATATTTTCCTCAAGACTCGTCGTTTGCCTTTCTTTTCACTGACTTGATTTGATTATGAACTGTTGCTTGCCTTTGTCATGAGAAAGACGACAGAGACAGTAAAGAAAGTTTTTAGCAAATGGCAGTTTATGACAGTCTTCAATGGTTTAGAGAGGATAAAATAGGAATGATAGAAGTGATTTGGCCCGGGATGTACAGGATTTTGGAGGTCTTTGCAAAGTTTTGAGTGTAATTATTATTCGCTTTTTATTTAAATTCACATTCTTAGGTTTTAATCAAGTACTTAGTCAGGTATAAAGCATAACTTAACCGTCACTATAAAAAATCATCAATATTAAGCCTTAGGAAGCTCTATTGACACCACTATGACGCTCTATATTAAAACTAGCAGTGTATACCGACGACTTCAGTATTAAGCTTCATGCCCGTCTCGGTCACAAACTGATGAAAAAGAATCATATTGTTTGTAAAATGCAAAATTGAAATTGGTTTTTTTTTTGTTTCATGTGTCATTAGGTCTGACGATGAAGAGGCATATTGAAACTTTTTTTTATAGCTTTACGGCGAACCATAGAAGGGAAAATTTACTTTTATGACTTTATAGAAACTTACAACAATTTCAATTTTTTTTTTTCATAAAAAGCATTACATTTATTTTTTATTCAGCCATCGGACGAGCTATTTACGACTTTATAAGAAGAAAAAAAGAAATATTTGTCATTCACGTGTGTGTTCTTCCTGTATTATCATCATAATGTGACGAAGTAATTAGCCAGCCGATGAAAAGAATTTTAAATGCAACTGAATCAATATTTAGTTTAGAGTCTAAAACACACGTTTCACATTAACATCTCAGCAATACAATCAGACAGGAATTTATCGTAAAATGATGCGCTGATTGTCATTATTTTGATTATTAATAAGCAATGCATATGATTTAATTTGCATGTGTGGTTCAGATGGTTCAAATAGCTTCTCCCCAATGTATTCATGATATTCATCATATGTGACGGTCGACATCAATGAGAAATCACGTTGCTCCGCAATTTTGGATGTATAATAATTTGTACAATCAACGGTTAGTGCCTGATATTTTAAATATTTTCCATTTTCAATGCAATACTCAAATAGTGAATTGGCAATGCCACGTCCGCGATAGTCACGATGAACGGATACGATGTGTATGTGAAGGGCCTCGGGGACATCCAAACGAGTACAATAATTTGCCTTCTCATCAATATATGATAAAAATCTCAAAACGTCAGCATGCTTCTCATGTTTCATTGATTTTGATGCTTCCAAATTTCTTTCGTGTTCATTTGGTAATATTGTTCCAGCAATTAGCACTCCGACAAGTATTCCATCGATAAATCCCATTAATGTAGTATTACAATTTATGCAGGACATTAAATAATCATCATTAGGTTGCACTTTCTCATGCTTTATTCGATGCGATACTTCTATTGGCTCAACATTATGAAAATGATCGAAAAGAAATTCATGAATGAATTTCAAGTCACGCTCGGATGCAATACGAACAACTATTTCACTCATCACTTGTCAGACGCTTATCAATGACTGAAATATTTTCTGAAAGATATTATTAAAATTTTGTTGTAGTTTTTGTTTCTGTTCTCAATATTAGTTGTGGAATTTTTTAAATAAATGTTAGTTAAATGCTCAGGGCAGGCCCGTAGCCAGGAGGGTCTTGTCCCTCTCTTAAGCATTTTAGACCGTGCTCTCGCTGCAGTTCAAAACGTTTAAGGGGGAACAAGACCCTTCTGGCTACACACCTGAGCCTCAGGGGTTATTCGGAAGCAATGTGATGCTAAGGATTGATGTTTATGCTCATCAGATCCATTCTTTGGTTTAAATAAAATTTGTTTGAATTATTTCGGGAGGAGGGGAGGGGTTGGATGGGTTGGTTCGTTCTGCCTGGATTCGAACATGGTTTCTTTTGTAAAAATACATGACTGAATCTACTCGTTTCTTGCATTCAGAATGACCTGCTTCCTCCATACGATCACAAGAGCATCTGACCGTCCCCCTTATACTTGTGTCATTAATTATCTTATTTGTGATTAAAGTTAATAAAGTGTGGAAGTTGAGCAAATATTGTATGCAGGAAAAGATGAATTAAATGTGGGATGAATGAAGTTTATGGATGACGTCGATTAAAACAGAAAGTAAGCGTTCTTGAATTTGTGGATTTTTTGTAGTTTTTATCAAATTGAACTTATTTTTTTACTCACTTCTAACATCTGTCTATCCTAGATTTGATGCACAACTAAGACTGTAGAAATAATTACAATTCTTTTTATACCGCCTCTATTTTCATGCGACTCTTACATTGGATCTTTCGTTTTTCCACTTTGTGACTAATGCAATGCTTAGTAGAAATCATAGAAAGATGTTCACAAGAGTGAACTATAAAAACGTGTTTTTTGTCAACGGAGAGAATGGAAAACCCCTTATTGCTTTGACTTACGCATAAAAGCTAAGCATGTTGGATAAGTGTGTTCAATGCCTCATAATTAAAATATAACTTTTCGAGTTCTGAAAAAAATTAATATGATTCAATAAAGCGGAATATTTGGTGTGTCCCCGTGTGTCCATACTCATATTATTTAATAGTTCTTTGTAAAAAAAATCTTAATTTAAATTCTCTGACACGTGCGATAATTATTTGAATACTAGTTAAAGTTATTAAAAGTGAAACGTGATGAATGTTAACAATTAAAAACAATAAACAGTTTTAAAAAAAAATTCTGATAACGAGCAATGGTAAGATAAGCTATAGAATCTCTGGAAAGTTCTAAGTGCAGTCCTAGCTATCCAATTTTTAATAAGATTGTTTATAAAAGAGAAGTTTTGTGAATTGTGAAAGGTAGAGGGAGGAGGGGTGTCGGAAAAAGCCAGCTTTTTATTAAATTTCATAACCAAACTTTTTCTACAAAATTACCACACTCAGGGGCGTGGCCAAGAATTTGGAGAGGGGGGGGGGTCAAAAAATTTTATATGGAAAATTCAGAGGGAAGGGGGAATTTTTAAGATTTTTTCATGAAACTCCTAGCAAAATGAAAAAATTTCTGTTAACGTCGGGGGATTTGTCCCCCAAATCTCCCCCCCCTCCCTGGTTACGCACCTGACCCCACTGCAAGAAACAGCAGTTTTGGTCAAACTTTTCTGTGCAACATCTGGAAGTTAAATCATGACCACACACGGCATTCGATATATGAGGTTTTCCGAATTTTTTCGCGCCACATGGGTTGACCATCACTTGATAGGACATAGGTTGCATCAATCAACTGCATTTAACAGGCATCATTAGATTGGGATTCTCCTGGCTACCAATATATATATCCGAGGAGTTATTGCAAATCATCATAAATTGTCTAGGCTCGAATAAAGAATTTAAACTATGAAATACTTCAAAGTTTCATCCATAGGATATAAGCTAAAGTTCACTTTATTCAGTGTTATTTATTATTTCTGTTAATGTGTAGGGTGACCATCTGCGTAGTTTTTCAACGGACAGTCCTGTATTTTTCAAGACTGTCCTGTTTAAATTTTTAAACAGTTTTTCCTGTTTTTTTCGAAAAAATTTACCAAATGTCCTGTATTTTTATGAAAATTAGATGGTGACCCTATTAATGTGTCACCTAGAACTTCAATATATCACTTCTAGACAATTTAAATAAATTTAAAAATGTTCAAACTTAATTTTAAAATAATCAAAAAATAAATTTATTCTTTTTCTTAATCATAGCTCAACTAAAGTAACAATTTATTCAATTTAATTCCATAAGATCTTACAACATTATGAGGTTCTTTAGGTATAAACACTTTCGTGCCAACAAAATCATTATATTCATCATAAGTAACAGTCGATAACAAATCCATGTTGTATTTTTCAGCAATTCTCGATGTAAACAAGCTCGTACAGTCAATGGACAGTGCCAAAAATTTCTTATTTATTGCATTATCATAATAAGCTTTAAAAAGTTTTCCAGCTATTCCTCTGCCATAATAATCTTCATGAACGCTAATCATGTGAAGATGAAGTGACTCAGGTACACAAAGACGATTACAGACATCTGCTCGCTCCTCAATAAATGCTAAAAATTTCAGAATGTCAGCAAATTTTCGGTCGTCTACAACATTCGCCATTTTCAGTGACTCTTCATGCTCATTCGGTCCAATTTTACCAGCTACACAAACTCCAACAAGTTGATTCCTCAACATGTCATGTGCAACAAATGAAGTTTCATTGAGAATACATTCTCTTATAAATTTATCATCATCCTCATCTGAACTTGCCAATTGATTATTTTCATCATTCAACTGATATGCTGTTAAACTCGGTTCCGCATTTACAAAATGCAACTCAATAAAGCTTACAATTTCTGATAAATCAGCTTCATCAGCTATTCTTATTATGATGTCAGACATTGTTGATAGAAATTGAAAAAAATTGAAGAGATTGGATTTTGAGTGAGTAAATTGAAAATGCAGTCGATGGATGGGGATACAATCTTCTTTTATGATGTCTCTGCAAACAGAAATAATGATAATAAAAGTACACAACAATGGAATAAGAGAGCGATAAAGTTTATTGATAAGATAAAATATAGTTAAAAAAAATTGTATGAATTGAGGTTCAATGACATTTTGGGGGGATTGTAATTATGGTCAACTATTATTAAAGATTTTTATTAGTCAATATATAAAGATTTTGTATGAGAAGATTGACCTAGAGGATTAATAAAGCTATCATCCGAGTAATTCTGTTGTAACAAGTGCATGTTGACTATTAAAGTGCATTGTTTTTTAGATAAAATGATAGAGTGCTTATATAAAATACTAAGTATGTCTTAAAAGAATTCTCAATTGCTTCCGTAAATGATTAACTCGAACTACATTGACTAATGAATTACTGAAGAGATGAAATCACTTTACTTTTCCTACAGATTTGGTTTAGCAATTCTATTTGATTAAAATAGTAAGAATTAGCTTCTTTATTTTTATTTAGGATTTATTCTCGATTTTTACTGATTTATTAATATTTAAGGTACTCGAATTTTGACAATTTGCAACAATAATTGTGTAAAGTACTGAAAAACAGAGTTCCGATACAGGCACAGGTGACCAATCTGGACCAATCTGTCACAGATCTGTTTTATTTGTAGGCTGATTTGACAGATCTGTGCCTGTGAAAGGCAAAAAAAAAATTACCTGTCAACAGTTAAGTGACAAGTGATTGCCTGTGATAGATCGAAACTCTACTGAAAAATGACACTTTAAACTAGTTTCTAATGCTACTCAGGGTTCTGCCTTAGTGAAAGTGGGTCAAAGTCATGTTTTATTTTCATTAAACAGCTTCTGGAACTACAAATTAACTACATGGAACAATATTGTCCAAGGGTCAATTTCTCAGTTTACCCTAGAGCTTACTAAGTCTGTTGTGTATTCAAATATTACAGCCTATTGGTACTCAAGGTAATCGTAGTACAGCTTGAAATCAACTCAATTTTTTTTGTAAAAGTTAATAAGTCAAATAATAAAAAGAAGAAGTTGACCTATTGTTCATGGTCGCAGCATGTTCTCATGCATTTAAATAACATCACGTCCGTAAAAAAAATATCAATAATAAAAATTCAAAACTATTTTACTTAAAACATTCCTCAAATAGAGATAAATACAAAACAATAATTTTTATATGTTTTAAATGTTATTTCTTATCAGTATTGAATTTTTCAGTAATGACTTCACATGTGATTCAATATTTTGTTTCGCTTTGGAATTCCAATACACAATTCACTGAATGAATATAATTCTCATCTAAAGTACAAGTTGTCTGCTTGATAAATAGGCACTGAATGACTTTTATCATTTTTGTTTCATTTTTTAAAAAATATAATTTCAAGAAGATTTCTAAATTATCATGTAAGGAACTACCTTAGAATTTCAAAAAAACATTAATGACCTTGACTTTATTTCCTTAATTTATCTAATTATTTACTGCACGACACGACTTAAATACCAGATAGAGAACTCATGCTTCCTCACATGCACAACGAATACTGAACTCTTAAACTCTCATTAATAATCTTGTTACTCACAAATACACGAGACTTTTAGACACTCAAATCGATTCAACACACGAATACAAAATAAATTAGAAAGTATGTTGCGAAATAAAAAAAATCTACTACAAAAAAAAAGAGATTCGCAAATTAATGTGAGGCAGTGTGGATTGCGAATAAAAGTATTAATTGAGATAAATTGAAGTTGTTTTTTGATAATTTAGTAAGGAAGCGTTCGCTTATTACGTAACGCTTTTAGGAGGGAGTAAGGTCAAAGATCTTGTTACGATTCAATCGTTCAAACAAATAATTTTTTATCATCCAAATTTTGTTACAAAGGGGGGGGGGGGGTCGTAGGGGGCCAAATAAGTATTTTTTTCACGTTACGTAATAAGTGAACCCCCTAAGGGAACTGGGTTTATAGACCCCCTTTTGCCATTTTTACAAATTTTCTTTGAAAAACTATCACTATATTCAAACCACAACCTGCCCGCCCTCCTAAGAGCGTTACTGAATACAAACTGGTCTAAGGAAAACTTCCTAAATGTTACAGGAGAGTAATTCTAAGCATTGCAACTTAGCAAAACGTTTATTCGGCCACCCTAATCCCAATTCCTGGCTACATTTCTGCCTTACACTCATAGAAACATCAACAAATTACAAAAGGGGCGGTTCACTTATGACGTCCAGGGTGGGGGGGGGGGATTAGCAAAAGAGAACAATAGAAATTCCTGGAAATAAATTGTTCTTTACTGAAAAATAACCGTTATTTCGGACGTCATAAGTGAACGACCCCTAAGATGGACACTGAATTTAAAAAATCACTCTTCTTCATAACTGAATAAATTTGACAAATAATTCTTACTTCATTTAACTCATCATGAATAATTTTACAATACTTATTTAAAAAAAAATCTCTCCTACCAATAAAGTTATTTTGTAAAAGTAATGCAGTAATTCCGTGACATCGTCCTTCTTTAAGGGACGGAGCAAAAAAAAAAGAATCAACTAAATGAAATTCCTCTAAAATGTAAAATAAGAAGACACAAAACTTTTTTTTTAATTTTTTTCTTTCCCTTTTTTTGAGCGACTGATTTTTATCATGTCCTTTTAACTGGTTTCAATTTTACTTGCTTACTTTGACAAAATGATATTAATTTTACAGTCATTTTCCGGCAACCAACTCAGGGACAGTGGATAAAGAACAACATTACAACCCTTTAAAATAACTTCTCCTTGAAAATTGAATTAGGAAAAAATGAGCAAATAAATGAGGGGAGTCAGTCAAAAAAATTGTGTTTTTTATAAAAAGACAGAAGATAGAAGATGAATTTGAGAAAGTTCACAATCTTTTTTTATGGCTGCAAACATTTTGCGCAGTATAATTTTAAATGGCAACCAGTATTGTGCGCAGTATAATATTTTATGGGGCAAATATTGTGCGCAGTATAATTTTTATATGGTAGATAATATTGTGCGCAGTATAATTGTGTATGGCTGCAAATATTGTGCGCAGGATAGTTTTTTATGCTGGCAAATATTATGTGCAGGATAATTTTTTATCGTGGCAAATATTGTGCGCAGAATAACTGTTTATGGCTGCAAATATTGTGCGAAGCATAATTTTTTATGGTTGCAAATATTGTGCGCAGTATAATTTTTATATGGTAGATAATATTGTGCGCAGTATAATTGTGTATGGCTGCAAATATTGTGCGCAGGATAGTTTTTTATGCTGGCAAATATTATGCGCAGGATAATTTTTTATGGTGGCAAATATTGTGCGCAGAATAACTGTTAATGGCTGCAAATATTGTGCGCAGAATAACTGTTTATGACTGCAAATATTGTGCGCAGTATAATTTTTATATGGTAGATAATATTGTGCGCAGTATAATTTTTTATGGCTGCAAACGTTGTGCGCAGTATAATTTTGATATGGAAGCATATATTGTCCGCAGTTTTTATTTATTTCACTACCCTTGAAGACAAAAGCCATTCATCTCTCCTCATCTACATAAGCATGCTAAAAATCAGTCTCCTTCCTCTACTCGTCCCCATTTTTTATTCAATCACTGTCGTCGTATTCATCAACATTCACTGTGGGTTGAGAGATAGAGCATTTAGATGTAAGTAAACAAGCTCTTAATAATGTCCAACTCAAAGTAATTTTTTTGCCCCTTCTTTTTAAGTGGAAAAGAGGAAATAAAAAATGAAGAAAAAAGATTTTTTTTCATCACAATCAATTAACTGATATCGCGCGATGACGAAAAAAAAAGTCTAATGGGCTGGGAGAATAGAAAAAAATTGACACAGTAAGGACAGAGGAACAATAACACGAATCACAAAAGCGTAAATTCTAAATGATGATAAGAGATTCAATTTAAATTCAACAGAAAGTGATGAAAACTGTTGACAAAATACACAAATTTTTTTTATGAAGTGGAAGTAAAGTAGAAGGAAATTCTATAAAGCTTAAAAAAATAAATAAAACTCCATTAAACATAGGACAGTTGAGGAAGGAAAAAATAGAATTTACTTTCACCCTTATTCCGTCAGAGTCAGTCCATACCCCCAGTCAGTCGATTACAAATATGCTTCAAAAGAAAAAAAAATGTCTTGTGCTTGGCGAGTTAGTCTCGTGCAAATAAAAAACCGTTTTTAACCCTTTTAATGCCATCATCGAGTTTTCTCAATGTCGTAACATAATTTGAGGACATAACAAGCCAAAACTGTTATTGAAACTTAATTTCCCTATTGCTTTATTGCTCATGAAGAAGAAATTGTATTGAGGAAGAAGAAAAGAAGGAAAAGAGTTGGTAGAGACTTTTTTGAAGAATAATGTGATTTAAGAAAATATACTTTTGCAGTTAAGGATTTTTGAGATTTCTTAAAGTTTTTTCAGGCTTCTCCAGCTATCTGCTTAAAGGTTCTTAACATTAATTTAATTCTAAAGATTTTTAAATAAGCAGAGCAGATTCATAAATTCAAATTTGTGTATCAATCATTTAATTTAGACTTAAAAACTTACCTGATAACTGAGCTTCTACCAGCCGCTTGAACCTATCTGGAAAAGCATTCAGAAGTAGATCTGTATCCACTTAATTAAGCTCATATTATACTAATCAGATTGTAACTAAGCTGAATAACAATTTTACAGAAATATACTCTTGTACCAATGTCTTGCTTGATTTAAAATTGAAATGAACTGATTGTGCTTATAAAGGTTATCTTAATTTGTAATATATAGAGCATTGCAACATCGACTGCATTCCAAAGGTGTGGAACTGAAGAATTACATTTTGATCAATTTTGATCATTTCATCAGTACCACACCCTTGCTGCATTCTATGTAATGCCAGTAAGATCGAAAATTGATAGGAATCGAACAAACGACTTCACAAATAGTTTTAGCGATTTCTCGTCAGCTACAGAATCATTCGATCTCCGAAACCTTACTATTCCAGTGGCAAATTCGCTTGCATATTATCTAATACTTCAGATGCCATTTTGCTCAGATAAGCCTTTATTTTATTCAAATTTTAATATTTTCTGAAATTAACTTCTTGACTCAAGTACACACCATAAAAGTAGGCAACCAACAATACTCACATATTTTCTTGTCTCCCAATTTGAAGCAAAAATTACTTTTGAATTAATAATTTGCCTTTAATTTCTGTAATAATTTCAATTTCCTCTTTACAAAATTGACACAATTTGTTCCTTATTTTTGATATTTTCATTTTTGGGTTCATTAAAAAATGATGTCCAACTTTTGAAGAAGCTTTTTGTGACAACGTCATAAATATTGAATTAAAATGTTGAGCCAAGTGGGAACAAGAGCCTTAAAAATTCTATTTTTCAATTGACATCACTTAAGACCAACTTTTCATTTTTAATAAATTCATTTTGCTGATGTCAAACATTGAAGAAAAACAAATATTTTTTGATTCCATTTGAATAATTTTTCCACTTAATTTCTATCATTAAACAAATTGAAGCAAGTTGCCATCTTCTCATTCTTCTGTGACTTGTCTCTACAGAGCAGAAGTGAAAATTCAGTGTCAAAGCTATCAGATTTCAAAACATTGTTTTTCTTTGCTGTCCTCTATACACAGCATCGGTAAAATTTTAATGTTTTTCTTCGCCTTCCTTCTTTTTGATGCTGAAAATTGATATTGAACCTTTTTTTTTCGAAATAAGACGATTACTTTTTAAGGTTTTCTTCCACTAGAGTAGCACAAATTTTGTACTATTTGTTTATTTTGACTAAGGGACATTTAACTTTTGTCAGTGAATATATTTTCATAGTTTTATCGATGAGGACGAGCAATTGGAGCATTTTAAATTCGGTTGTGATTTTTTACTAAATTGTGGACACGTGCTTGTGATTTAATGATGGCAGTGGTTATAGTAAAGCTTTGCATGACTTAAATTAGTTGTTCTTAATCTAAAATGCCTGAAAATTCAACAAACCAGCTCAAGTTGATAATTACATGGGTCAGGGGGTTTCGAGACAACCTCAGAACTCAAGTCAAAGACCCTAGTGTGGCCTACCTTAGTCATATATTCAAGGAATCGTCACTAAACCTTCAATTTCCAAAATTTAACAAATGTAAATTCAGATTTCTTTCTCCAAATTTCATCTCATTCAACACCGATTTCCATGCATGCAATATTATTTCCCTTAATAGCGACAATAATAAATGAGAGTAAGAAAGTAAAGGATGTAGCATTATAATTTAATACATTTAAATGTCCCTCAGCTCCTCTTCAGCTTCTCTTTATCTTATCTCTCTTATTTCTTAAAATGCTGGTAAATGGTCGTATAGAGAAACAAGAAAATTGCTCGTATATGTACGAGAAGGCATCATTGGATGCAATAAAACGCGTCTCATAAGATGAAGAAAAGTTTCAAGTGGCACAGAAAAGAAAAATAAATTATTCGCTCTTCTCTTAATCGTTCTCCCAAAAATGTC